TTCATTCTCTGCCCCCCCCCCCCCCTCCCCCATCCCGCCTATGCTTCCCCAATCCCTTTTCAACAAATTAAGATGCTGCGCAGGCATTTTCACTCGCTACTAATCAAGAACCTGCAACAACCCGTAATGAAGAGGTTCGGTCCACTGCTCCTGTATAATGAGGTGTCTAAATCGGAAATTTTTATTACCTGGCCCTTCGCGCCTGTATTCCTCTTCATGATCCGGATAAATTATTTCTGTGCCTTCTGCCAGCTTCGGTAATGTTCCCGTTATAAACATCTAAAAAATATTATAAAAATATTTCAAAAAAACAGCTGCTGGTTTTAAACATATAAATAGTGCCGATAAAGAAAAAGTCAAATTATAAAGGTCTCATAGCCTCGATCAAATTTAGGCATAATGCGCTTTATTTGGTAGTGCTTTTATCCCCTTGCTTAGACTATGGGTTCCCCGGGCAGCTGGACAATTGATCAAATCTGTCACGAATTAAATTTAATTTTTTCACTGAGATAATTAAGTTTCAACTCAAATATGTGCTATTTTTGTAAAATTAATATCAGGAATGCTATGACCGCTCGGGCTCTCCGGATAAGTATTCCATGTTAATAATATTGCTGGAATGCTCCTAAACGCCTATGCCAAGACTGCACGCTTACATTTGGTATGAGCTGCATGTTCGATGTATGTGCGCCGCCACTTCGGGCCTTTTACTGTGTCGTAGGTAACATTCACCAATGCGTGATGACATCTACCGGTTTGCAAAATAACACAAAAATTTATGCCTCTGGCTAATTTTTCTAGCACACTGCTCACTTTATGCGAGCAGTTTAATATCGAGAATTCCAAGACCTTCAAGGCACGAGTGTGGGTATCCCGTTTTAGTGACGTTACTAGTAATTTGACAAACAATTAAAATTATGCTAGTAATTTCAAAGGATGGAAATATTCGAACTCTGCTGCTTGTATTTTCAGTCTGTGCAAGAAGCATAGGTAGTCTGAGTGTTATCTGACCTTATACAATTGACAACAAATCTGTTCAATTTATGGCACTTACTTGTTAGCAATGGCGTGTAATAAATAGATCAAATAATGATTAATGGTTTTTGTTAAAAGTAGGTTAAAGAACAACTGCCTTACCATGACGCAATATCCTGCCCCTGGTTCAAACTTTGGACACCTTACCCTTGTTAAACTTTCGCTATCTTAGTAATCTCTGACCCCTGGGGTATAAAAGCACTCCTCCCCATCTCCGGGAGGAACACAACTTATCACCACTCTCGGCCTATTTATTTAGCTTCTATTCCTGCTCTGGGGAGCTTCAGCTCCCAGAACCTCACCACTTTGTTTTGTACTACCTTTTTAGTATCCTGTGTATTTATAAATATGTATATATGACTAGGCGTTTTACACACCCACACACACACACGCACATACACTTACACACAGGGCATACAATAATCTAAAATATTAATAGTTAGTGTCGCGATAGCAATGATACTTTGATGATTTTTTTGTGCAGCGGGAAATCAGAGGAAGTTTTGCAAGCAAACTACAGAAATTTAGCGAAACATTTAGTTCACAGAAAAATTCACAAGAAGTTTAGACTAAGGTAACACTATTCAGTCAAGTCCAACTCACCTGAGCTTTAAAATAATGGTAGATATCACGGCCCGAAAACTGTTGCCGGATTGTTACTCGATAGCGGTCACCAATGTGCACATTCACCGTACGATTGAACAGACCACCTAAACGGATTCATATATGCAAATTTTTAAATCTGTGCCAACTGCTATTGCTACTACTGCTACTGCTTGTTGGACCGGGATTGATTTCGTAAATCCGGTTTTTTGGAATTCCAGTTTTTTTTTTGGTATTCAGTGTTCTCGGAATAAGAGGAAGAAGGACAAGAACACACTGGATTTAGCAAGCGGATATCGTTTTCACTGTCAAGTGCACAATGGCGCTCACCAGAAAACTGACCCATTACATGCATTTTTGCGATAAGCTGCTACCGGCTTGCATAGAAGCTGGTTTTATCTCGGCACGATAGATTTTTTTTAAATAACTATTCATTCTTCAGTTTCTCCACTGAAGAAATCAAACTCGCG